ATATCGGCCGTATGCAACGTCAAGTCCACAAACATATTCTGGAACACTGCCCAGCTTGGTTAGCCAGCCAGAGGAGACACGAAGAATAGTGACAGCTCTATCCTCGAACACCTTGTCATCTTCGGACATCGAGCACCCCACACATGCATGAATGCTTCACAGTGTTACACAGAGTCCATCAATATCGTACAAAGGGACTCCGGATACGCTATCTGTACACAGCTGAAGCACTAGCTATTCGAGATCTGAAACCGGACCTGTGCATACAAAAGCGATACATACATTCTCTTGCCCTACCGTGGCCAGAGTAAAGTTTATACTACAATTCTGCCTCCTTTGTTTAATATGTAAGTTCACTATTATTATTATTGTTCGTAATACTTTTATTATCATTATGGTTCCCATCATCCATATTTTATTACCACTCTATTACTGTTTATTGATAACATTGCTTTTTGATAAAGATTTTATACAGAAACACTTTATAGCCTTTCCACTAGTTCCTGTCCATTCTACACCAGCTTATTGATTAGTCATTATCTCACACTTACTTACAATTAGTTATCCCATCTTACACCTTACATTAGGTAGTACAATGTTCAAGGACAGAAGTTATCAGTATCTGATTGGTCTAAAGATTTCTTTGTTGATTATAATTACCATTGTACAGCTCACGAAAATGAATCGTCGAAAAGGGAAAATTTTCTTCGCTGTTTGTGCCTTTTTCTTATAAATCTAGGAGTATTGAACAGCTGAACAGGTGTTGGTTACAGGAACTGACGTAAGTTTGAAAACCACTGGAGAACCTGGAATTACTGCACAGGTATTTATTTCGTCAGTCTAACTTCTTGACACACGCATAAACTCACTAGTAGAGGGAATAAAATTCACATTTTTGAATCGGGAAATGAACAAGGAGAATTAGCTGTGATGTTAGACTGTAAAATAAAACGAACAGAAGAAAGTAGACTGCACAGAAGCGTTTGTAAAATGCCAACAAATTCTAATAGATATTTAGACTTTAATTCACCTTATCCGTTAACTGTTAAGGCAGGCTTAGTTAAGTTAAGTGCCTAACAAACCGAGCAATAGCAGTAAGTAGCAGAAGAAAAGACCTAAATGACGAAATAAAACAGATAGAAGAAGCGTTGGTGTTGAATAACTGACTATCCTATAAAATTCATTAGGAAGATTAGTAAAGGCCAAAAACAAAAAAATAATTGTGAAACTAGTAATGATAACATAAATAAGAGAGGATATCAGACATCTACTGTTATATCATATAAGGAGGGTGCATCTGAGACCCTCCCTACCTAGGATTTTCAATAAAGCAGGAATTAGAGTGGTGGCATTCAGACCTACTTACAAACTCACTCAGCGAGGACAAGCTCTGTAGGCTAAAAGAACCGGTAGACCCAATTAGGCAAAATAACATAATTTACAAAATACCCTGCAATGATTGTGAATCAGGTCAACTACATAGATCATACCAGTAGTTCGGCAGTAACCAAATTGTCGGAACCTAAGAATTTAGCTAAGGTTAGAATGATTGACTCCGCGAAGACAAATGAGTAGTTTAGAAAATATCTCAGTAATTGCACTGTGTGCATTAACACACAACAACACAGTAAGGTGGAAGAGGGTTAAAATTCTAAGAAGTAATATAGGTAAGTGGAGATAGAGAGATTTTGATTACTGGCACCTGGTTCATCGAGTAAATCTACACCAAACACTTGCAATAGAAATGACTAGTCACTTATACCAGAAATATGGAAAATACTACTACCAATCCAATCAAGTGAATTGATGAAAAATAATGGAACTAAATAAACGAAGTGAGAAAATTATCGCCAATGATTTTCTTGATTGCAGTGGATTGGGTAGTGCGACAGGCAGCGAGAAAATGAGGAAGCAGGCATAAAATGGACCCTCATGAAAAACTTGGAGGATCTGGACTTCGCCGATGACATATGTCTGATTTCCTACAAACTGGAAGATTTGCAAGTGATGAAAAGCAACAAGTTGGCAGAAGAGAGCATCAAAGATAGGACTTCAGGTGAACTAGGAGAAAATAGAGGTGATGAAGATTGATGGCCAACACCAACAACAACAGGCAACAGTCATAGCACGCACCCACCACAGGGTGACAGAACCCAGGACCTTCCTTCGGGTTACAAGGTGAGCTTATAGACCATTCAGCCATTGGGACCAGACCCAACTGTCAGACCATGAATCCCAACTTCTGCCAATTCATAGGGGGGTGGGGAGGTTTAATACATTTATTGAACTGATCTCACCATTTTCATTTTAACACACAGTGCAGATCTTATAAAGAATCAATTGAATTGTGATCGATGTTACGAATTAGCCTGAATCTTTCTTTAGTGTATAGAAATGAAAAATTTCTTTTTCTTTTTTGTTTGATGAAAAATTAACGAGTGGGGAAAGAAGAGAAGTAAGGAGGAAAAATGATGGGTCAAAATAGGAAGTGGGATTTGTTTTTCTGATTGCTCTTTCCTGTTGACCTTGATAATGGTGAAAAAACTGTACACGAATGTGTGTATGTATGTGTGTGTGTGAGTGTCTGTGTGGATATGGGAGCTTTCATCAATCTCTACCTTTTTTCAAGTGTTGGTTTGTAGGGATTTGGTTGGTTTCACGATTTCATCATGAGCTGACATTAGTTAGAGAACCATTGGAAAACCTGGGAGTACTGGACAGCTGTTTCGTCCTAGTTTGGGACTCTTCAGCAGTACACACCCACCGAGATTCGAACCCAGGACCTTCCGGCTACAAGGCGAGCTCGTATACCATTAAGCCACTGGGACCCGATCCAATGGTCCTTGAATTCTAACTTCTGCCAATTCACGATATAGCGCGACCGCTAGCCAATGTCTTCGGCGAGTATTTGTCCTCACACCCGACCTGCTGCACCCTACTGGTCACGACGTCCCACTGGAACCCAGGTAACTGCCTACCTGAATAGGGCCAGTCGCCAGTGAGCATCTTATTACTTATCTTACTCGCTGAAGACATTGGCTAGCGGTCGCGCTATATCTTGAAGTGGCAGAAGTTAGAATTCAAGGACCATTGGACCGGGTCCCAGTGGCTTAATGGTATACGAGCTCGCCTTGTAGCCGGAAGGTCCTGGGTTTGAATCCCGGTGGGTGCGTTCTGCTGAAGAGTCCCAAACTAGGACGGAACAGCTCTACCTTTTTTGTTTATTTCCTGGGTTAGATAGAGAGAGAAGAAATAAATAAATCCCAACAGAAAAATTATCCTCGGAATAATTTTCTTTGGGGGATGGGGGAAGGGGAATAGAAAGTCCCTGATTCATACACTTTCGTTACTTTCAATACATAGATTCATATATATCCATACATGTTAAGGGAATAAAATCTAGGTAAATAAGGATAGCAAAGTGTGTGGTAGAATGCTAGGTTTTCCTTTCTTGCATGCCCTCATTTCAACCTTATATTAAAAAAGTTTGAAATTATCATTATCCTTTTTTTTTTATTTTTTTTTTATTACAACTTGATTTCACACCGCATTTTTGGTACAAGTATGGAATTTTCAGCCTACGATATCGGTAGCCCAAATTTCGCAGGCCAACCATAGATATCAGGTGTGCGTCGGCGAGGTGTCGATCTCCGGACCATGTGCATGGTCGGCGAGAGTCCAAACCACTTTCAACGTATCATTGTCAGAAACAAAAATGTTGCTCTTTCTTTTTCGTCACGGATACCGATAGACAACTTGTAAGTACGAGAAGTATAATACCGCTTTCAGTGTTCTCACAAATCAAATCAGTGATTCTTTTATTCTTATCCAAATGTGAAGTGTCCTCATCACTGGAAGTTACTTTGACATGATTTTTTTTATAATGCTGATGAACAGCTTTCCCCAAACCAAACGGTGAACAGTCCAATAAAAGAAGGCAATTAATGACAAAACCAATACTGTACATAAAAGATAAATAAATGTACTAATTGAAAAACGTGGTGGCGGGAAGAATGGCACTGTATGAAATGTTCCGTTAACTGTTGTATTAATGCATTCTGGTTCTGGGCCAACGCCTTGAATAAGTGCTAGTACACTTGGGACCAAATCACTGAATGCCTCACCAAAGTGTAACGCACCCACATATAATTGAGGCATTCCATTTAGATATGTAATAAATGTAACAGATGATGTACAATCAACTATTGACGCTAACAGAGATAAAATAAACAAGCCAATACTGTGATGACCAGTTCCTAAGTCGGTATATGAATCACCTCCTTCCAAAATTGTGCCAACAGTATGCATGACAGTAAACCAACTGTTAGTATCACATAATTCGCTATCCTTTCAGGTGGTTGCAAAAGATGTGAACAAAATCTATTTGTTTTAGAGTGGCAGAATTTTGTCAAAGGGACATAGACAAGAGGACCCACGTTTGCTATCTGTATAATAATTATCAAGTAAGCAGGTAAATTCCAACCTTCTGGTAAAATATTGACTAGTAGTGGAAGCTCAACCCACAAACCATTAACAACAATCGACGATCCCAGACCATATAAGCTGACCAAGCATGCTGCAAGCCATGTGAACTTGGCCCCGTTTTGCGATCCAGTCATTCGGTAGAGGGACAAGTACAAGTATTTAAATAATTAATACCACACTAGTGAGAATTTACTACAGCATGATGTACACAAACACCGGTCTGACCTCAGTAGAAACTATAAACTCATGAATTTGTAATATTATCCTCCCTAGTTCTTCTGACATTCAGCTGCTATTCAGCTGTAATCTATCAATATTATTGATTTGATGTCATTGAGACATTAATATCGTTCATAACACTAATTCATTCATTCATTCACTATAATGTATGTATAAATGTAGAGCCTGATGATGAATTTATAAATTAAATGCCATTTTTCTCCCGGAAGAATCTGATTGGTTGTTTCAAGGTCGTTTGTGCTTGATATCGACTTTTTATTGTTGTCAATACTTACATTATTAATATATTCATTTCTTCGACCAATAGTATGCACAGCATAAAGATAATGTGTTCTGTGAAAGAATTCTTTTACATCTTGATGATAATCCTTCAGATATTCGGAGAAACGATGTAACAGTTTTAGTACAGCACTTAAAGTCCTGAAAGTATAATGAAAGAATGAAAAGTGATGTGTAGGTGTATGGTAATGTGTGTATATTTTACGTTAGTTTAAAAATGACCTAAAAATGACTTCAAAAGTGGTTCAGATCACAATGGGAAGTCAATCGTAATGCATTTTATTGCTTATAAGATCGTTCCATAAAAAATTTAAATAACTGTGACTCCACCTGAATAGCATAGAATGTTATTCAAACATCTAACTCAACTTCATTGAAATAGAAGAAGCCTTCCACCACAGCATTGACCGACAAGTCTATTGGAAACTCCTTCAACAGTATGGCGTGCATTGCACAGCATTTTTATCGACCTCCTTCAACAGCCATATGACATTGCTAAGTGTCTGCTGATCCAAAACAGAAAACTCAGTGAGGCGTTCAAAGTGAATACGAGAGTTAAGACATGAATGGCTGCCTACCATCACCAAAGATTATATTCTTAGTTGTCGTTGACTGTATCATGCATCAGACTGTGCACGGGGAGAGAGAGCAGACAGAAATACACTGCACTGACCGATATGAAGACTCCATTTAAAAGATTTAAATTTCTCGTGCGGATGATATTTGTTTAATGTCACACAAAGTCGAAGATTTCCAGGGCAAAAACCAAAATTATGGCAGAAGAGGCTAGCAGCTAAGAGAAAACTTCAGGTGAACATAGAGGAGACGAAGGTGATGAATTTAAATAACCAACAGCAACAACAACAACAAGCACCAATCACCACCAAAAGAGGAGAGATTTGACAGAAGCTACTTCCTTCACTTATTTAAAAAGCATTGTTTCAAGTATAAGCTCATGATACGGATGAGGATGTCGAAACCAGGCAGAATCTAGAAGAGACGAAATATGGCTTCATCAGCTGGAAACCAGTTTGAAAGTCTTCGGCACTTCTCAATATATAGACAATCAGATTCGGGTTTTCAACACCAAAGTCAAGTTATACAGTCATTTCTGCCATACGGGTCAGAAACCTGCGCTACGCGTCACGGAAAGCATCTCCAACAACTTAAAGACTTTTATCAAAAGCTGTCCACTTCGCTGGCTCTATTCTAAAGATCAAATGGCCGGATGACCATAAGGAATTGGGAACAACATACTCTGCAGTGGAACAAACCATCAGGCGAGAGCCAATTGCTCAACAAATATAGAGATGGATCGGTCGGGCATACGTTGAGATGGCCGTCGAATGACGTCGCGTGCCGTGCAAGTCATCTCTTGAGTGGAATCTCAGTGGAAAGTGACGAGTGGTCGTCAGTGCAAAGGTAACATTGGGGAGAGGAGGAGGAGATTAGAGAATATGGGCAATCGGGAGGGCAGTTGAGAAGGACAGCAGAAAATAGGACAAGACAGAGATATGTTTTTGAAGCTTTATGCTCCACTCGGAACCCAGGCAAATAATAATAAGAACCAACCACTACACGTTCAAGGGTTAGTATGCAGGGATTAGATTGATATCAGATTGGATCACAAACTGACTTCCGATGGAGAACTTTTGTGATTGCTATTTCGTTTTAGTTTTGGGGGTCAGTAATATTTGCCCAAGATCCTACGAGATATCGAGGGCAAGAACAGGTAATTTGCAGAATTGAGAATTCAAAAGCTACTGTATTTTGTCCTACGCAGAGATTTCGAGAGTTGATCTTACTTTTGTTGATACATTCCTTAGAAAGTCCTATTAGTGCTATTAAGGCTAGAAAAGCAGCTGAACCAGATGGAATACCCCCTGAAGCACTGAAAGCGGATCCACAGATGACAGTAGATATGCTAACTCCATCATTGCAAAGGTCTGAAAGGGAAGAATGGTGCCTACTGACTGATGGAAGGGTTACCTCGTGAAACTAACAAAGAAGGGCTACTTACTCCTCACTCTGCAAGAACTGGCGAGGAGTCATGCTCCTATCGACGCCAAGTAAAATCCTGAGTCGCATCATCCTGGAGAGATTAAAGGACGCACTGGAGACAGAACTCCGACCGGAACAAGCTGGATTCATGAAAGGCAAATCATGTTGTGACCAAATTGCAACTCTACGCATCATCATCACAGAACAAAGCATGGAATGGCAATCAAACCTCTACCTCAACTTCATAGACTTTGAGAAGGCCTTCGATAGACAGCGTTGATCGTGAAGTAATCTGGAGACTACTCGAGTACTACGGCGTACCCCAAATATTCATCAACCTTATTCAACAGCTGTACGACAACGGTACATGTCAAGTGATCTACAACGGAAAACTCAGCGAGGCGTTTGGAGTAAATACAGGAGTCAGACAAGGCTGCCTGCCTATTATCACCAATGATATTCCTAATTGTGGTGAACTGACTGGATTATGCGTCAGACAGTGGGAAACGAGAAGACAGGAATATCCTGGACCGACGCGAGGAATCCAGAAGACCTGGATTTCGCGCGTGGATGATTTATGTTTGATGTCAAACACAATCAAAGACTTCCAAGCGAAAACCGACAAATTGGTTGAAAAAGCAGCTGGCGAAGACAGGACTCCAGGTGAACAAAGACAAGACGAAAGTTATGAAAATAACCAACCAACAACAGCAACAACATCCAACGTCAATCACCATCAACGGGAGGAATTTGAAAGAGTTCGCCTCATTCTCTCACTTATATGGGGAGCATTGTCTCAACTACACCCAGTCGGAACGGACGAGGATGTCAAATCGACCGAGAATCGGGTGGGGTAGGGGGCGAAAAACACATTCATCAACCTGAAATCAATCTGGAAATCTTCGTCACTCAGTCAGCATCAGCAACAAAATTCGGTCGGATTTTCAATACAGACTTCAAGTCAGTCAGTTCTTCTATACGTATCAGAAACTTGGCGGGTGGGTCACAAAGAACATTTTCAACAGCCTGTTGCTGACCCGTATCAACAACTGTCTTCGCTCTATACTGAAGATCAGATGGCTGGGCCGCAATCGCCAAAATCACCAACAAGGAACTATGGGAACAAACAAAGTAAGAACCAATCGCCCAACAACAGCAAATATGCAGGAGAAATTGGAGATGACACATTAGACACTCGCTGAGGAGGCCGGCGGGTGACATCGCGCGTCAGGCCATTGCTCGAGTGGAACCCGAAAGAGAAGTGACGAGTGGGTCATCGGTCAAAGGGTGACATGGATGAGATCGTGTGAAGAGGAGTTGAAACAGTATGGACTAACATGGATGCAGGTGAAAATTAAAGTAGAGCACAGAAGCAAGTGGAGACATGCCACTGAAACACTACGTTTCACTAGGAACCCAAGGGAACAATCATAATATTAAAGGCTTTGATACTTACTGATTTGTATCGTGAAGTAGGATTTAACGCATCAATGATGAGACATTTTACTCCACCGATCGGCACTATGCCTATTTGAACCGCATACACCACTAACAAGCGAAACGCCGAAAATGTCTGTTCACTGTTCAGATCATCTTAATCTGGTAATCAAGCCCTATTGTCTGACATGATCGGTTTCCAGGCAGTCATATCAGATGAAATAATCCTGTCAACATTTTTCTTGGAATCGGTTTAATCTTCCTCGACAAGACAGTATTTGAAATTAATTTAACTGTACATTAGTGTGATTGATTATGGGATAAACTCTCTGGGATTTCAGTGAGGATTCATGACAGCTGATTTCCATTAAGTCGGGTACAAACACAGATAATCATCGGTGATGGAAGTTAGCTCCCACTGACGATTGGGATCCGTCGGTGAATGGCAATATGCTTGACTCACTAGTTGATGTTGATGAGTTCCATCTCTGATGAAGTCATGAGTGTGTTATACTTAAAAAATGGATATGGTTACAACAAGTGAGTTGCATTACGTGTTTTCATAGTAAAAATTATTTTATTCTTATGACCACTTCAATTTTAGTTATAAATTATCCTTGTCCAAAATGTTTTATTTCCTTTAACAATCTGTTACGTAATCAACCTGTGCATACGCTTATTCCTTAATTGCTCTTCATTTTTCCAAACTTATGCATTATGCAACTCACTTGTTGTAACCATATCCATTTTTTAAGTATAACACACTCATGACTTCATCAGAGATGGAACTCATCAACATCAACTAGTGAGTCAAGCATATTGCCATTCACCGACGGATCCCAATCGTCAGTGGGAGCTAACTTCCATCACCGATGATTATCTGTGTTTGTACCCGACTTAATGGAAATCAGCTGTCATGAATCCTCACTGAAATCCCAGAGAGTTTATCCCATAATCAATCACACTAATGTACAGTTAAATTAATTTCAAATACTGTCTTGTCGAGGAAGATTAAACCGATTCCAAGAAAAATGTTGACAGGATTATTTCATCTGATATGACTGCCTGGAAACCGATCATGTCAGACAATAGGGCTTGATTACCAGATTAAGATGATCTGAACAGTGAACAGACATTTTCGGCGTTTCGCTTGTTAGTGGTGTATGCGGTTCAAATAGGCATAGTGCCGATCGGTGGAGTAAAATGTCTCATCATTGATGCGTTAAATCCTACTTCACGATACAAATCAGTAAGTATCAAAGCCTTTAATATTATGATTGTTCCCTTGGGTTCCTAGTGAAACGTAGTGTTTCAGTGGCATGTCTCCACTTGCTTCTGTGCTCTACTTTAATTTTCACCTGCATCCATGTTAGTCCATACTGTTTCAACTCCTCTTCACACGATCTCATCCATGTCACCCTTTGACCGATGACCCACTCGTCACTTCTCTTTCTGGTTACACTCGAGAAATGGCTTGATGCGCGTGCATACGCTCATTCCTTACTTGCTCTTCATTTTTCCAAAATTCTGCATAATACTTATAAACTGCATAATTAAAAACAAAGATTTATAAAGTACTTCCTGGTTCTCAAAGTTTCACTGAGTTCTGTTAATCAGGAAGAAAATTTACTCAACAATAAACGCCGTTGCAATACATCAAATCTTTACAAATAATTGATCAGTTATACTGTTTAAAAGAAATCCTGTTGAGATGCATTGTAGATATCCGATTCTCTTTTAATAATGAAATATATAGACAAAAAGTTGGGATTGCTATGGGTTCACCATTAGGCCCATTGCTTCCAGATTTTTTCATGTCAAAGCTCGAAAACGTATATAATATTTCAAGGAGACAATTGACACCTTTGGCTGTCACAAAGAAACGTGGTGCATACTTTTATTATTTCTAGCAATGAAGGGAATCTACAAGATAGTTTGGTTTTTGCAGGGAGGATTTCATCATGAGCTGACGTCATTTGGAGCACCATCAGAAAACCAGTGGCAGGGGGTACTGAACAACCAGCTGTTTCCTCCGTTCTAGTTTGGGACTCTTCATCTGTACGCACCCATACCGCGAGGCTCAAATCCAGCATCTTCTGGTTACAAGGAGAGCGCTCATGGACCATTAAGCAACTGGGAAGCGAACCAATGGCTAGCCTATGAATTTTAACTTCTATCAATTCACGATATGGCGTGACCACTTCACAATGTCTTCTTCTTCAATAAGCAACTGTCCTCACCTTCAACCTGGTGTACCCTACTGGTCATGACTTCTCAACAGAACCCCAGATATTTTGGATTTACTCAACAGCAGCCATATTGCAGTCCACTTCACGTTAAAGAATGGAGCCCAATTCAAAAATAATTTTCCAGCTCACAAGACGTGTAAAAAATATGGAATTTTGAAAAGATCTATCCACAGAAAGCCAATATGGAATAGACACTTCACAAACTTCCAGAATTGAGCTTCTTTATACACAGAACGAAACCCGATCTGTTAGTTAAACCACAGGTTTCTCAATATTTTCAGCCTTGACAACTTGGAAGAGTAGTTGAACACTCCCTCTCAAAAGGTTCTCATTGAAAATGGCCGCCGTGAATGCTTCAACACAAAGTCCATGAAGACCACATCAACAAAACTGCACACACTTTCACCTTCTTAGAGGCTTTTTAATCTAAAACTGCGACCCATTGGAGACTCGTCAGTGGAGGTACTGCTAAAATGCCATTCCGAGTTATTGAAGAAAACCAACCTCTTAGCTGAACTTCAACTTACTTTCTTTCTGGGAAACCAATGATTCATCTCGACGTGAAGGACAGAATACCACTGTTGTCCCAATCAGTATGCATCATCTACTCTTGTGGAGCTAGGTGTGTATGTCTGTACTCAGCGTTTGCTATCGAAACCTATCATTGGACATTTACCCTGATGGTTTCACACATAGAAGTCTGCAAACATGCTTTTATCTCCTCTTCTCCTCATCGAAATCACCCTCGCACTGACGACCAACTCACCGCTTCCCTTTCGAATTCAACTCGAGCGATGGCTTGTCTAGTGATGTCACTTGATGGCTTGTTTTCTCAGAGTATGGCCAATCCATCTCCATTTCTTCCTGCCTATTTGTTGCACAATCGGTTCCTGCCGGGTTGGTTCGCTTATTGCCAGAAATCCCTGTTGCTGGTCTTTTCTAACCGGCCATCTGGTCTTGAGTAACAATAAAGAAGACAGCTGTTGATGAAGGTCTGTAGTTTGTTTGAGGTGCTCTTTATGACGCGCCAAGTCTCTGATCCATGTAGTAAGTAGCACTGATTTCACATTGGAGTTGAAGATCCAGATCTTATTTTTCATGCTGAGTGCTGAATGTTGACCTCCACACAGACTTGAGAGTAATGAAAGCGTGTCTTTCTTTCCAGATCGTTGCTTTTGATATCCTCGTCAGTTCCGCCTGTAAGTGAAGCAATGCTTCTCAGGTAGGGCAAAGGAGGTTGTTTCTCACAGATTTCTCCTATTTCTGCTGATTGTTGTCTGTCATTGTTGTTCTTGTCGCTGTTGGCTAGGAATTTCCATCACTTCTGTTTCCCCTGTGTGCACCCCCTTGTGTCCTACCTTTGATGCTTCTTCTGTCAACTTGTTGCTTTTCATCACTTGCAAATCTTCCAGTTTGTAGGAGATCAGACATATATTATCATCGGCGAAGTCCAGATCCTCCAAGTATTTTATGTGGGTCCATTTTATGCCTGTTCCCTTGTTGGCTGCCGTTGTCTGTCGCATTATCCAATCTACTGCAATCAGGAAAATCATCGGAAATAGTAGGCAACCTTGTCTTACTCTCGTCTTCACTTCTTCGAAGGATTTTATGAGTTTCCCGTTGTGGATTACTTGGCATACTTGGCATTGCCGTACATCAGTTCGATGAGATTTATAATTGTCGATTGCACCCCACAGTAGTAGCGAATTAGTTTCCAAATCACCTCTCAATCGATGCTGCACTGTCGAAGGCTTTTTCAAAGTCAATGAATTTGAGGTCGAGAGCTGACTGCCTGCCATACGAAGCTCTGTTCAATGATGATCCTTAGTGTTGCGATTTTGGTTAATACTTGACTTGTTTCTCGTGAATCCAGCCTGTTCCAGTGGAAGTTTTCCAACCACGGCGGCGTGTTTGATTCTCTCCAGGATGGTGCCAGGATTAGTAGTTTGCTTGGAATAGACAGGAGCATAATGTCGCGCCAATTCTTGCATTGACTTAAGTCCCCTATCTTTGCCAGTATGATTAAGTAGCCTTTCTTTCAATCCATAGTTACCTTGCCTTTTTTTCCACATTCTCTCCACTAATGGTGTCATAACATCTACTGATGTTCCGGGGTCCATTTTAAATGCCCCTGCTGTTTTCCCAGCTTTAGTATCTTGATCACCTTTAGTATTGCTGTTTTCGTTGGGGGGTTGATGTTCACCGGTAGTGCTGCTTCCATATGAACATATGAAAACGTCAGAGGAAACACCTGAGACTCTGACTGCAAGTCACTAACCTCTATTTATTAAGTTACAATTTAATGGTGACTTATCAAGTGTGATTTTGTCCCAGAGACTTTGCAGAAGTATACGAAGAACATTTTACGCAGCACACCTATGTTTGCCATTCTCTAGCCGACGAATGATTGGGACTCAAACGAAGGCTAAGCTTGATAGTTTTGCCACATCTCTGTGCATTTATCAATTCAACTGCACCTGCAGTTATAGTTATATTGGGTGTACTACTAGACAGCTTAGCCAACGAATGTGTTACCGAACATCTCCTCTCATGGTGGTTTGGAAAATGACAGACAAAAACAATCCGTAGCTCAATTTTGTCACATTTAATTGATAGTGGTCATGTAGTGGAGAAAATGAGAGCTTCCACAAACTTATTTATCGTATCCCACCGAATCTCTTCAATAGATTTTGTATTCGTCTAGTGTGCACACAACTGAGGCAGGCGATAGGCATTCGAACTATTAAAGCTAAACTATACATTCGGTAGAAGTTCATACACACAGCCATTATCCCTCCCTTGCTGGCCTATTAAGACACCTCACCAACTAATGACTTCTACACCACCCTTTGTTTATATTTTCAACCCCTTTCTTATCATCCCTTAATCTTATCACATCTTCATTAAAAACCCTATTTCACTTACTTCCCTTACAATCAGTCTAGCATTACTTAATCGGTTCATTTACTTTTCAATGGCCTTTATCTATTACTTCCACCTGAACATTGGTTTGTTTAGTCATGCTGTTTTTTCGTTGTTCGTGTTGTCACAGATTGCCTCACTTTTTCATTACTACTATTATGACTATTTGCACAATTTATATTCACCATCTTATTATCCTATAGACAAAACGCCATGATTGGTCTCTATTTGAGTATATATATATATATACACTTACCAGTCTGCCTTCACAGGCATATAATTAATTTTGGTAATTTCTTTGATCAATAAATCGAATAATTGACCAATTACTTGATAGGCAGCTTCAAATTCATACGATTCTAATTCTGAACAGAATTCATCAATTTTATGTACAATCCAGTTGATTCTTTTAATCCCTTTGGGTATATCCATTGCCTTCTCTTTATACACGGCATAAAGCATGAATAGAACTAGCTGTTTACCGATTGGAACTATAAAAAGTAGGAGTAAACCGAAAAAGACGGATAAGGAGAACAAGAAAAACATGTAAAAATTAGAAATTGTATATTTAACATGTAGTAATGGTTGAATTGGTTATCTATCCAATAGAAGAATGCATACCGCCTACTCACATAATCCTGGATTCGATTCCTAGCCAACCTACTCTAAAATCTTGCCTAGCTGAGATAGTAAGCCAGGTAAATGGAAGAGTTTGTTAGTATATATATATATGTGTGTGTGTGTAAAACTTGAGCACCGTGTTAGTAAGTAATTCCATATTAGTCTGTGTATTAGGTGTATCACACAGTGAAACAGTATTATTATTTACTGGATGATGTTTCGAACAAAATTTATTACTGTTCATAATCATTTCAACTTCGAAACTTGAGTTTTATAGTTTTCCTTGTTCTCTCCTATTTGTTGTCATTGAGGTAGTGGGATTTTCCAGACGTCCAGATGGACAGATGTTGAATCATTCCAATTACACGTATTTGCAGTTAATTCGGTAAACAAAGCTTCTCTCTTAAAACTGTCATCTTATCCCATCCATCCCATTGTATTTTATGGTTGTGTGTAACTGTATGTAGTGATTGCTATAGATGAACTATCCTACAGATTTCTTATCATATTTGGGTCAACTAATCTAGATTTTGTTAGGTATTTATGCTCCGCTAGTCTAACTGCACCTGTTCTACTATTTTGACCTATGTATTTGACCTCACTGACGATCATGCCAGCAGACTATTAGATAGACCAAATTATTTCGATTTATTGGCTTCACTGGCAGGATCCTTTGACTGATAAAGCTTGTTTCTAATTGAGTTTGTGGCTGGTTTCAATAGAAGCCACTTTTATTTCTGCATTGTTAAGAATTCTGCGTAAGGTTTCCAAGGTTCCTCCTTTATATGGAAGTACTACCAATGGTTTATATTCCTTATCGCTGATGACGTCATTATCCTGTACATGTTTGACATGCATGTCGTCATTAATATTACGGTTATTATTATTATCACCATCACTACTATTATTATATATTTTATCGTTACATTTCCCTACATACTTTCTGATTAATTTATCAGGGTAATTATTAATGAATTTCAAAAGTTTCTCTTTTATGCCTCACTTCCTCTCTTAGATTTTCCTTCGTACTACTTAGTTTTTGTGTCCTATTACTCAAACATTTCACCAATCCTATTTTAAGTAACATAGGATGGGATAATCTGAAGTCCAAATATCTATTTAGATGTGTGTTTCCTGCAAACATTAGTGTCTAACTTCCCATCTTCTTTTCTCTTTGTATACTGCAATCTATCCCCTTTCATGACTTTCAAATTCATAAATGATTTGAATTGCCTCCACCTTTGAGTTAATGTATTCGAAAAATCTGTCTATATTCTGTGTTATAAGTACATTGTATGTGTCATCTACATACCTCCACCGTACTTTTGGGATGGAGCTGAACGTTTCAATCTCTATGTTTTCCCACCTATCTATGAATATCTCTGCTACAATCAAGGATATTGGTGACCCCATGGCAACTCCCTCAGTTTGTTTGTATACTTTCCCCTGGAATTTCTCCTGAAAGATTTTTGTAATGAAGCTGGCCAGCTACAGCTGACGGATTAACTGGTTTCAGCGTAGAATTTCGCATTGAAGTACAACACTTCGAGTTGCTGCATTCCTTGTAGTATACAAATGAAGGCAAAGGAAGGGGATTCAATCAGACAATAATAAATGGAAATATGAGGTAGAAAAAATAGTATTATTACAGATACAAAAAGGGAGAACACATCTACGCCATTGAGAAGGATTTTAATCCTTCTTACAGCCAATGTCTCCAGCCTCCATTGCTTCTTAGAACCTTGAGGACTCCAACCAGACTGTTTACACTTCCTAACGTGGTTCAAACTAACTGTTGAGGATTTCATTGACTGATGAGACCATCTTCTGGTTTGACCATTACTAACTCTTTTCAAACCTGATCCAATCTCTATAAACATTATCCGTTGAGAAAGACGATGACTAGGCATCCATTGATGCATCCAATTTACAACCTCACAGATTGACTTCCACTCACCCTATTACGTCATTTTACATCGGAGATAGGACCTAGACACCTGTGATCAAAGACACCTCGCCTTTTTCTGTCTTTCACTTTCAGTGGTAATGTCTAACAGCGATAAGTAATGTCAGACTGAACTGTTTAGCATCATACTCACCCTTCGATCGAAGTTGGCAAGTGCCGTTGTGACTTATGCAACTTCCCGAATACATGAAGTGATCAGCAAGCTCTATCACTTCACTTCTTATCTTTAAACTAGGTATCGATATAATCCAGTCCTGTAGCATCATGTTACATTTGACAGCAAGAATAAATTGCATATCAAACACTCAAAAATTGATGCTCAAGGTGTTCAAAAGACTCTGTATTTTATCAACCTCTTCTACTTCGTTAAGATTACCCCAATGCGTATACAGATACCACCGTTATGGAAACTTCAAAGTTCACGCTTGACATCCTATGTTCTACTCTGAATGTGAAAGAATAGAAAATTGCTGCAAATTGAGTTAAGTGATCAATTTTCCACCGATATATTGACGAGGCATAGCAGCTCTCTGCTTACTTTGCAGCCCATCAACTTGGTGGAAAAATCAAATCTTTTCATGAGATCTGTAAGCTAAGTAACATTGTGGTGAGAGCAGGTCGTGAGAAGATATGTACAAGGCTGATTCAACAACCAATCACAGCAGACTTAACGTGGCAAAATATGATTCGCAGATAGAGAACTCTATTTTTCGAGGAGTCCCGAAACAACCAATCAGAAGCCTGCGTTTGTCTGCTTAATTTCTGATAAACAACCAATCAGAAGACTGCGCTTGCATTAGCTATAATAATGTAAAGGAAATATATATAAATATATGTTGATTTTCGTAATAAAACAATCTGTTGCCTGGCTCTTGTCTTCTGTTGTTACAAGGTGATATTGATGAAATGAGTTTTGCGACTGCAAAAAGAGTTAGTCTTTAGGACGCTTAACTCTACTGACATTTTTTTTCTTTTTATATTAGGTATTATCTACAAAGGGCAGTTGAGATCTAAAGGAAATTCAAGATCTGCCTGAGAAAAGAATCTGCCTGTCGATTAGGGCATTCCACGCCTACAATGACTCAGTAAAGATGTACAGAATAAATTAAGTGTTAGATTTTCTTAGCTCAATGTTGAGGCATACACATAAGATCACCTGAACACAACACTTATCTTAATATGTATTATTCCATGAGCGTTACAGGTTGTCTATTCCACTTCTGAACGTCACAATTTCACAATTTGTATCATTTTACATAGTATTCAGTTCCGAGGACAATACACACATAGTTCAGCGAAGAAGCCTTTTTCGGTGAAGTATTCTTCTCATCATCGAAAAGGCTTTCAGCAAGGAGATATTCTTTCCGGCGATATCATTCTCAGGCTGTACAATCGCATTTGTGTAAAAATATGCATAGTGAAGTGTCTTAGCAACAGAAGCAATATCTGCAAGGATGTGTCATTAAAAATGTAAATCTGAGATAAAAAATTTCGATAATCGGTTAGAAACTAAAATAAGATTTTAATAAGCAATTTTAGTGAGGTAATCTAGTTGACGGGGCTGAGTAGAGCTCAGCTAAAATTAAAATGAAATCGAATCAGAATCAAGTTAACAACTTCAATAATAAGGAATAAAGATTCAATAGGCCGGGGTGGGAGAAGAATATGACACAGTTAAGAAACAAGCATGAAAGAGATGAAACGAAAATTACGTATTTGATGTTAAGATAGGTCAAATCGACTGTAGATATAATGGGTGAACATACCTCTTTTGTATGCAGAGTTCAGGATGTAACATGTGAACTGTCATCATTTCTGTGTGGTTTGAAGAAGTTTGATGCTTACTCTTACAGCAAAATACCCACCTATTCTCTAGATAACTTTGAAGTTGTTTTGTGGGTTTGCTTGGTGTCCTCATTCGATCGTGTGTTCCAGAATATAGAGCTTTTGGTAGGGGCCTTTTTTCTCCTTTTTAAAACCATAAGGATAAGTGTTCGTTGTTACATTTAGATAGCAAACGCTGAGTATGGCCGACATATTTAGCTAGCTCAACACGAGCAGGTGAATTAGTAGATGGCATATTGATGAAGCCGGCTAACAATAATAGCTTATCCTTCACGTTTATTTTGCTCTTTACTTGTACAGTAGCATTTGTACAAGGTTTTTTCATGAACCCCAGTAGTGACAAAAGTAATCACTTGTCAAAATCAGGTAGCAATAAAACTACTGAAGCCTGATTTGTACGTCCAAAAAGGATCCGTTGTTGGACTGCAATTACCCTGGTGACTCACTTCTTAGTAACTCTTTGTTTCTAATTTTCCTAACTCATGGAAAATTCTCATTGTAACACAGAAAATCCAAACAAGCAATTCAGCGAAGAGACTCTTTTCAACGAATTTATCATCAAGCTGTAAAGTCGTATATATATATAGGGTTTTCAAGAAGTTATATCCGGTGAGGAAATTGAATCTTAGGTGTAAAAGCATAAAATAATGATAATAGTAGTATGAAATCCAATTAAAAACTAAAATGTTTGTGATTATAATCACAGTCAAATGCCAAGTGGCAAAACAAATAATTTTCATTTCAGGATTTCATCATGAGCTGACATTAGTTAGAGAACCATTGAAATACCTGGGAGTACTGGACAACTGTTTCGTCCTAGTTTGGGACTCTTCATCAGTATGCACCCACCGGGATTCCAAACCAGGGCCTTTCGGTTACAAGGCGAGCTCGTATACCATTAAGCCACTGGGACCCGATCCAATGGTCCTTGAATTCTAACTTCTGCCAAGTCACGACATAGCGCAACCGCTAGCCAATGTCTTCGGCGAGTATTTGTCCTCACACCCGACTGGTTGCACCCTACTGGTCACGACTTCCCACTGGAACCCAGGTAACTACCTACCTGAATAGGGCCAGTCGCCAGTGAGCACCTCATTGGTATTCAAGTGTTCGATTGTCGGGATTTGATTGGTTTCAGGATTTCATGTCGTGAATTGGCAGAAGTTAGAATTCAAGGACCATTGGATCGGGTCCCAGTGGCTTAATGGTATACGAGCTCGCCTTGTAACCGGAAGGTCCTGGGTTCGAATCCTGGCGGTGGATGCGTACTGCTGAAGAGTCCCAAACTAGGACGAAACAGTTGTCCAGTACTCCCAGGTATTTCAATGGTTCTCTAACTAATGTCAGCTCATGATGAAATCCTGAAACCAATCAATTCACTACAAACCATCACTTAAATAATTGCCATATATATAGAATAATTCATAGGATGGATAGAACTTCAAAAAGGGTGTGCAATTCTAGGATTAGTAGACAAATCGAATAAAACAAAAACGTTACGTATTATTGTGATATGTATCCACACATATATATATTTATGTGTGTGTGTATGTTGGTCTCTCTTTCTGTTTGCTCGCTTAGTCTGTGACCATTTCACTTGTATGAACCTGTCTCCTTTAACAATGTATATTCCCCTTTTATTATATATAATATGGGTGTTTGTTGACAGTCCGTTGCTTGGTGACATATATCCATATTATATGTGTGGTTGTTGACATGTCTGCTATATTTCGCTATGTATATATGGATCGATACTCCATTATAATTAGCCATTCATGTTAAGACTGTCTATTGATTTGTTCACACACTTGTCTGGACATTCATATATATTTCGCTCTCACAATCTTGTGTGACTTCTTTGGTGTGATACCACTTATTGCATTCTCCTTGTGTTTGGAAAATAGAAGTATCATCGCAAACCTAGTGGTCTTCTGATTTCCGCCTTCTTGCGTCAGGACTATTAAATTCTCGACCAGTCCATAACAATAATTTGGCGACGAGTACATAACATATTGTGTGAAAGTGTATAGCACATAATTTAACGTTGTAAAAAAGAATTGATTTAGAATGACAAGTGAAAGAAGTGAAGCTTTGGCTATCGAAACAGAAAAGCCAGATCTCTGTGTACAGAAAAAGTTCGTTCAATCCCTCCAACTTTTATGGTCTTAATCCCTCTATGCTAAAATATGGTAATCCCTAATCATATTTTAGCTCTACCAATTTTTCATTTTGTCTATTGAATTTGTATACTCTTCCCTTATTACGTCAATTAATACCATTACTATTCTCACTTTGGACTGTCCCCGGTATTATTTCACTTGTTCCACTTGTCATTCTAAATCAATTCTTTTTTACAACATTAAATTCTATGCTATCAAATTTCACACAGTATTACGCAACGTTTTTATTTCATTCGATTTGTCTACTAATCCTAGAATTGCACACCCTTTTTGAAGTTCTATCCATCCTATGGATTATTCTATATAGATATGACAATAATTTGTTTTGCCACTTGGCATTTGACTGTGATTATAATCACAAACATTTTAGTTTTTAATTGGATTTCATACTACTATTATCATTATTTTATGCTTTTACACCTAAGATTCAATTTCCTCACCGGATATAACTTCTTCAAAACCCTATATATATATATATATATATATATATATATATATATATATATATATATATATATATATATATATACACGACTTTACAGCTTGATGATAAATTCGTTGAAAAGAGTCTCTTCGCTGAATCCCCACTCGCTTGAATTTTCTAATTTTGTTAACTTATCATTTTACTTCCCGCCCCCTTAATTTTTTGATTGACTCTCTTATGATATAATATTTCTTGACCTTCTGAGTTCTGCTCACTGTATTACATCATCAACTTCCCATGTGACCTCAAATGCACCGAAAGTTTGATCTTCTCTTATCTAATTACGTAAGTATTACTAGTTTTCTCTTGTTACCACCCCAACAACACAAATTGTCTCTAACAAGATATATATATATATGTCGTAACACTTTAGACACCTTGTAAATCGCAACGCCTTATTCCACTATGACGATCTGACAATATGCTTGCTAATGGACAAAGGTTTGTTACAATTGTACACTTTTATTTTATTAAAGAATTCAGGTTGTACGCAGATGATGAGAACCGACAAAATAAAGTGAATCCAGATTATTCTACACCAACGTTTCTTCTTTGTTTGTTCAAATCTATTCATAAACGTCTGAAGCCTACTAGAAATGTATTTGATGACTCGTCAAGTTTCTGAAATCCAACACAATCAATCACTGACTTGACATTAGCGCTGAAAACTCTTAACTTGTTCCTTATGCTGAATTCAGAAGATTTAAACACAGAATTCAGAGTAACGAACGTCTGTGTTGCCTTTCTAATCCATTAATATATTCGCTAAAATGTCATAATAGTTATGCTGATATTATTTTTAATTCAAAACACACACACACACAAAAGAATGCCATTCAGTATTTGGTTCAAAGCTAAATGCGGCATCAATCCATGAAGTCTTCGACCGTTGATCTTAGTCATGCAAGGAGCACTAAGCATTAAGAAGAAGGCTTAGATTTCCAAAACTACTGTCACTAAGGCTTTTATCATGAGCCGACATCACATAGAGAACCATTGGAAAACCTGAGAGTACTGAACAGCTGTTTCATCCTAGTTTGGGAACCAGAAGGTCCTGGGTTCGAATCCAGGTGGTTACGTACGGATGAAGAGTCACAAACTAGGCTGGCGAAACAGCTGTCCAGTACTCCCAGGTTTTCCAGTGGTTCTCTATCTGATGTTAGCTCACGATGAAATCCTGTAACCAATCAAATCCCTACAAACCAACACTTGAATACTGTCATCAAGTTAGTGCTTTTATTATGTGGTTCACAGACTTGGCGTAAACATCACTAAAAGTGATTCGAACAGGCTCCCCCAGATTTTCATCGACAGTTGCCTTCACTAACTCCACATTGAAGATCAGATGACGAGAAAGGAACTCTGGCAGTAAACGAGTCCAACAAATCTTCTGAAGTATGTGCAGATGGACTAGACAAACACTGTGAGGACTATTGAATAACATCACACCACATGTAAGCCTTCGAAAGGAATCCGAATAAGCAACAATCAGTTTGGCGTCTGTCTGAAGGTACTATGCAGGAATTCGTGTGAGGTGGTGATTACAGCTCACAGGCAATTGCTGAGTTAATGAAAGACGATTACAGAGAACGAGATCAAAGTTCAATGTGTTGCTCTGGGAATAAATTCAAACTGGAACCTAAGAGAATAATAGTAACATCAACAGAATAAATATATATTTACCCAGTGCTAATGATTTCATTTTATCTTCAGTAACATGATTCAATGTATCTTCTTCACAGTTATCTCCATCAAGATGCCATTCATATCCTCCATATCGACTCATTTTACTGTGTGCATGTGTGTGCATTTTGTGATTTTGATTTACCACCCACCCACCCCCAAAAGGGAAAATAAATAAAACAAAGGGATAAGTAGGTGAAATCATACGCTTCTAGCGCTTTCAAAACTGATATGTACAGTTAATAATTGTGATATATATATATATATATATATATATATATATATATATCCTTAAGACCGAAAGTCTCGATATCATCTCAAGTTTACTAGAATCAGATACTACGCTATCACAATAATGTTCACTGGACACCAGTGATATAATTAGGAGCTTAAAATTTTGTCTAGAAAGTAATTATTTTACATTTATAGGGAATTTATATAGACAAACAAATGGTGTTGCTATGGTTTCACCAGTCTCCCCAATAATCCTTGATCTTTTCACGAATAGATTTGAAGAAAACATCTTTTCAAGGATACTCACGCCTAATATATGGTAAGTGACCCGAAGATTTTGCCCCAAAAAGTCTGCAATGCGCCCGAACAAAATGCTAGCTGGGGTGCTTCTATTTACCTTATTTTTAGCCTGAAGTTCACAGTTATTATGTTGGTAGTCAAAGATTATTGTAAACCTGCAATCATTGAGCTAATTAACGAATACTATGCTAATATGGTAACATAGACTATGCTAATAATAGTAACATTAAACTCCCTTACTGTTTTGCCATTGTTTGAGAGTGAACCTGTGCGCTGATTTTTCAGCATGAGTGGCACTAAATCGAACCTACTGAGTTTGATTATCAACGTTGTTCCAGCCCTCACAGGACATATTAAGCATGGACTAGCGTTACTCCAGAGTGGAAAGTTTTGATTCAGCACGCAGCTGTCTTTTTAAGCATGACCTGTGTCATTTCAGAACATTGTGGGTAAATATGATCTCCAGTTACCATAAAAAGGCATTGTCGAGGAATAGATTAGAATAAATTTAGAATTGTTTTAAGCTTGGTGGTGCTGCGGTCTAAGTGATAAATCGTATTAATCACCGTTATTCAGGATATGCTATGAACCGGAAATCCTCAGCTGAAAAACGTATGAATAAGACACAGATCGGTGTAATTTATAACTGACTCCAAATTGCTCTCATCACGAAACAGTCAACCAAAGTATGCTTTCATTTGTCGCTCTCAGCCGTTTGAAGGGAAATTTACTTGATTTATGCTGACCTAGTATGCACAAATCCCAAAGGTCATTGAATTGACAACTTAAAAAAGTAGATTAGTTAATACATACATTTATCTATATGTACTTATTAAGGATACATTAAATTTTTAGAAATTGCAGTTGAATTTTATTCGCCGAGTAATCAAAAATGCATACATCCTATTTTGGGCTTAAAATAAATGCATCGAAATTATTGTTGATTTATATTCACTTACTAGACATTCTCATACATCTTAATGTACTTTAAACATCACCAATGCATCCCAATAGCGTGTGACTATCACACTACACTCATACCAGGGAAATTAACACGCCATTATATAATGGCAAGGTAATCCCTAAATCATACTGACTGTAAATTTCCGTGTCAAAATGAAAAGATTACCGCTTTAACTTATATTTTAGACCAATAGGAAGCCAGCTTACCAACAGCCAATCAAAATCTGCCTATATCTTTTTTCATGACCAAATTATTTCTAACTGTTAAAGGTGAACTCGGTTTAGACATATAAAAAAAAGAATTAAAACTTAACTGTTTTTAATGAGTTCACTTTCTGAAAGTAAAATGATCAAACCAAACGGGTCATTAAAATTTCCGTATTCCATATTGCTTGCTACAGAGTGATATTGCTCACTTTTCTCTCTTTTCATGGCCTACCACTTGTTTGTGAGTGTGCTATTTTGATGTGGTTTTGTTCTCTGAGCTGGATGGTTAATTTGCGAAGCTTTCATCACCCTACTGGGTGACATCTTCAGCGCATACTTTAATTTGAAGTGAGCTTTTAGATTTCTCCACGAGTTTTTTAATCATTCCTCCTGATGACCTTGGACGTGATTGGTTGTTTTTGTGTGTTTTCACACCTTCTAGGTTACTTGTATTGGAACTGATTGTTTCTTTGACTTGAACCTTGACCCTTTGTGTGTGAAGTTTCTTTCTTATAGGCTGATAAATTTTGTCTATCTCGTGCGTCTATTGATTGATGATTCACTGGAATGCCAAGCTTCTAAAAATTCTCTAGCATTCTTGTTGTTTCCTCTGTCTAATATTTGAACGTTATCCCAGTCCAATTGATGTCCGTGGTTGTCTGTTTGTAGTGATATGAGGGAGTGGATATCATGTCTTTTGACGGCTAGCTTATGATCGTGGATACGAGGACGAAGAAGACGTCCACTTTGGCCAAAATAGCGTTTTTCGCAGTTGTTACAGTTTATTTTGTAGATGATGTTGGTTTTGTTTTCTAAATCTAAAAGATCACTTCAAATTGAAGTATGCGCTGAAGATGTCACCCAGTAGGGTGATGAAAGCTTCGCAAACTAACCATCCAGCTCAGAGAACAAAACCACATCAAAATCACCCACCTGAGCTACAAATATTCTCTATCATATCTAAATCCTGTGAGTGTGCTAGTTGGAAATCGAATAAGGACTATTTTATGTGGTTGTTGATCATTCTACCAGTAAACTAGTGACGTATTTCATCAGTTTTAAGTATCTGGAATGATTAGCTTGATTATTCATGGAGAAACAGCTCTTCAATCTTTGCGATGACGACCCAGAGACACGGTGTGACTGTCCTATTTATCCTTTTTTTTACATGTTTGACCGCTGAGTTGAAAATGAATTATGGAATGGATATCTGAAGCAATAAATTCCATCAAACATGAACATTTTGATTTGGGACTAGTAATTAGTGTGATGTGTCTAGTCCTCTCTTTGGTGCAGACTGAATTCTATCGGTCAGTTTTTGTAATGTGGCCGCCATTCTAGGTAGCTCACCATCACGATTCACGTTGATTGGATGATAATATTAGATGGTTTGAGGCAATTGGCATGAAGCCTTGGACCTAGGTTTTTAGCGCTAGTTCGCACTCGTCAGCGAGGCGTATCTGCAACCTTGAAGGAACTCATGTACCTTCTTAGATTCGAACCCGCGTCACCCACTGCTGCTGCTGTCACCAAAAAGATATGTTGGAATACATGAATTGAATGAATTAAACATACTCTGAAAACACAACTGACTGATGTCATACGCATCACAAACTATCAAACTGAACCTGAATGGGGAAGAGAGAGTTAGGCATCGGTCCGAGTGTGACACCGAAGCAAGTTTGTAAGCAGTATAGCATGAAATTTCATAGGTGATCGTGAAGCTACTTGAAGAAGAATTTAGACAGCCGATCTAAGTAGAAAGGTACTACTGACAGACTCGAGACCCAAATAAATAATTATACAAATTGTAAATTTATCTTACCATGATAGTAATATTTGCTTATGCATACCGATAATCGGAACTTCACAGGTGATACTGATAGTCTCTTTCAAACCTGTAACTTCTATTTCTTGTGTCTGCACGACAATTTGATAATAATCAGTTATATTAAGCCGATATGATATAGCAGGACAGCCTATTGACAAAAGAAATAAGTAGTATAGTTGGAAAAAACAATCAGATAAAAGTATAATAGAAAGGCTATAATCAGATGATGATTCGCCTTGAGATCAACAGACTGAAATATCACTTTGATGGGGTGATTAGTACTTTTTATCTGCAACTCTCATGGATGAAAAGATGAAGGAAAATCCAACCCCTAATGAATAATAATTATCATCGTCAATGAACTATCCTTATGCTCACGTAAACTGATTGGAGTAAATCGGTGATTGATCGGTGTTCATGGTAGGATAGTTCGTTATTTCTGAGGTTTTTTTCAAGTGTTGTTTTGCAGGAATTTGATTTGTTACAGGTATGATCATCATAGATTGAGACCAGTTAGAGCACCACTGAAAACTATCACGAAATTCTTTTGGGAGCTTTTTCGTCAGTCTAGTTTGGGACTCTTCATCGGTACGCACCCACTCCCGGGGGCTTGAACCCAGAGTAGACACATGTTACACTGGTTGCTAACTAGTTTCCAGTTAAGGTATAAAATATTCCTACATCATGACTTAAAAGTCATTCTGAATTAACAGTATTATTCCTCTGGGATTAAAGCGAAACATTAGGCTTCAACAGTGCATGTAATATTCCACTGATTGACTGCAGGCAGCCCTTCACCAGCCAGCATCCTTTGCTTCTACGATTCCAAAGAAGAAGAAGAAGAAGAAGAAAAGCAGTATCGTCTTATGTTTGTTGCGTAATTGACTGGTCTGGTTTTCCAGGATAGGATCAGTAGTCTCAAACTCAAACTCTCTTGTTTTCCCCTGGCTTTATGAAAAGACAACGCGATCAGTGAGTGGTCTTCGATATCAGGTCAGCTAATAGTCTAAGAAAGACAGCAATCCAAGGTTTCCGCCTGCGTAAATAACTCCTGTTAAGGTTAAATATTTATAACTTGTTATAAATATTATGATTTGAACCTTCACTTAAAGCCTTTAAAGATTCCAAACAATTCGCCTACAAACATAGAGAGGAAGTTCTTTAGATGGAGTTGCTGTTTTGCATCATAACATCATTTTTATTTCAGATAAAGGGGCTAATTTCGATCGCTTAACCTTCATAGATTATACATCTGCTTTTAATTTGGCAAGTAGATACGTTATGTTAAATAAATTTGCTCTAATGCAAACTGATTGGTGAGTTGTTAACTGGCTGCATTCTTATTTCTCAGGAAGAAAACAGTACACTGTATATAGTGGAAAGTTGTTCACTCAAGACGCCGTTCTTTCTCCTTTTCTGTTTTCTTTCTTCCGACATAAATTGCCTTACTCTGACAAACTGAACTTTGTTAAGTATGCTGATGTTCTGACTGTTTTAGTACCGGTTAACTCCCGCTATTCTGTACTAAGATGAACAACTGTCAGCAGTCAGCAAATACTCTTTGTCTAATGGTCTTAAATTAAATCCTTCCAAATGCCAGACTGTTCATTTCAGTTTCCGATGTAAAAAAAAAGTTAAATGAAGCTATCGGTTCCTATAACCCTTGCAAAATTTAATGAAAACAAAACACGTAGATCAGCGAAGAGTCTCTTTTCGGCGGCGAATTCATTTTCTTAGCTGTACAATCGTAAATATATATATGTGTTATTTTGTATGTATGTGTAAATTAAGTTTGTCAAGCAAAAATACAATTGGTTATGGTTATTTTAACTAAACAGGTGAAGATTGGTAATACAAGTCAAAAAAATTAGATGTTAATGAAATTAGGGTGGCACCAAAGTTGATAAGTTGTCACACATACACCTGTTAAAAATAATTCATGTAATAATATGAATAGTTTGATGATTGAGTTTTACTCAGGATAAACATGGGAACAAAGTAGAGAATACGAAATTACGTAAGAGTTCTGAATGAATACAAGAATTATAAGCGATTAAAGAACAGGCAAAGAAACGAAATTAAGTCACCAGGAGAGATGATTATTAAACTCGTGGAGAAATCTAAAAGCTCACTTCAAATTGAAGTATGCGCTGAAGATGTCACCCAGTAGGGTGATGAAAGCTTCGCAAATTAACCATCCAGCTCAGAGAACAAAACCACATCAAAAAATTAAGTCATCAAAATCAAAAAAGTTTTTACCATGACAGTAGAAGTGGTTGAGTAATCCTCTTTTGTATACACAGCTCCAGTTTTTCTATGTGAATGGCTAGAGCTTCAGCGATACATAAAAGACGAAACCATATTGCCTTTGATAGGTTATTCTTGACTTTGTAGATTACTTTGAAGCAGGAGGCATTTGTTGAAATGGAATGATCAGTGTTAACCAGATGTTCAATTATCGCACTCCTTTTTATACCACTATCGCCTTTTCGCAACCATGCTGGCTGGATAGTGTTTTTTAACCCTCTTGGACAGAGTGCGCGTCAAACGACCGATGTACATGGCTCCACAGCAGCAGGTGAACTGATATATGCACACAGAAGTGGTCAGATGCGGGATCTTGTCCTTGAGGCTTCTGCAGATCAGTGGGCGACTGGAGAACACTATTCTTAGCGTTGCTGCAAAGAATGTTTTTCTCAGAGAGGATGTTATCCTTCTCTTGAGAATATCGCTAGCTAAATCTCCCTTGAAATCCAAGTTCATCTAGAGTTTCTTTTTAGGCTCAATTAAAGTTTCGTTTCTTCGAATTCTTGGTTTGATATTTTTGTCGATGAATCGTATTGGGTATCCATTCTGGATGAAGATTTCTCTTAGAATATCTAATTCTGTTTCCAGAACGTCAGGACTACAGATGCGTCGTCGGATGCAGGTGGCAAGTGATTTGATTACATTCCGCTTTTGTTGAATGGGTACCCAGCTATAGAAGCTTGTTAGTTGAACATTCCAAGTAGGTTTTCTATGGATCTATCTTTTTAGGCTTCCTTGCAAAATTGATGATACTGATATAGAAATCAAGTTTGAAGTTAAGTGTCTTGGATTAATTCTTTCTTTTAACCTATCCTGGTCTTCCCAAGTCTTAGCAATTTCTAAAAGAATATTTCGTCAGACTTTTTATATGAAGAAGTTAAGGCACTCAGGCATAACTCAACCCGTCCTCCATTTACAGTTTGTCAGCTCTTGCATCTTAGTTGTTCTTCCTCACTCTTCACCCTTATTCTTTCCTGGATTGCTTGAAAAGGCTATTTCATACTTTGTAGAAATCTGAAGACTGTCAGTAAGGCGAGTGGTATCCCATTGGGCCATATCGTTGACATCGTCAATGATAGGCATTTGCTGTCATGCAACAGATTCGTTAAAGGAATTTTGTCAGTATGTGCACATCCACTTTACCCTCAGCTTTCACCTTGTGTCTCCTCAGGTAACAATTCCATGATACCATATTTGGCACTTATTTTATGTGGGGAAAATAGTGCCAGACACGAACTAACTAACTAACTAACTAACTAACTAACTAACTAACTAACTAACTAACTAACTAACTAACTAACTAACTAACTAACTAACTAACTAACTAACTAACTAACTAACTAACTAACTAACTAACTAACTAACTAACTAACTAACTAACTAACTAACTAACTAACTAACTAACTAACTAACTAACTAACTAACTAACTAACTAACTAACTAACTAACTAACTAACTAACTAACTAACTAACTAACTAACTAACTAACTAACTAACTAACTAACTAACTAACTAACTAACTAACTAACTAACTAACTAACTAACTAACTAACTAACTAACTAACTAACTAACTAACTAACTAACTAACTAACTAACTAACTAACTAACTAACTAACTAACTAACTAACTAACTAACTAACTAACTAACTAACTAACTAACTAACTAACTAACTAACTAACTAACTAACTAACTAACTAACTAACTAACTAACTAACTAACTAACTAACTAACTAACTAACTAACTAACTAACTAACTAACTAACTAACTAACTAACTAACTAACTAACTAACTAACTAACTAACTAACTAACTAACTAACTAACTAACTAACTAACTAACTAACTAACTAACTAACTAACTAACTAACTAACTAACTAACTAACTAACTAACTAACTAACTAACCTTCTTACCACTAGTAAATAAATAATTTTCCCCATCCTTATAACATCAAGCTTTACTGTTATTGTCCTTTTTATATTTATAATTCTCTCACTTATTGTATATTTTCTCATAAATTTAAACATCATTTAAGCTTTGCCTTTTCCCTTCACCATGCTGTGTCAAGAGAACATTAGATTCAACAATCTATTATATGCTCAAAATTTCCACACTGTACCGACAATATTGTTTGAAACAAACCCACTGTTATTATTATTATTATTATTAGAGTTATTATTCTCAATTTGTCCTTTGTTCATTTTTGACTTCATGCCTACTGTAAATGTGGACAAAATCCAGTGGTTACTTTTATTTACATTTTGAGTAAATTAGAACAGCCGAGACACTAGCCATCCAAAAGCTCAAACACACGCCACGTATCCATAAGAAATACGTTCAACCCTTGTCCCCCCGCCATGGCCATCATAAACAGGTAATTCTTTTAAATGTGTGAATAAAACAATTCCAACAGTGGTGTGAACACGGGCAGTGATTTTGCTCGAAATATTACCAATAACAAAACAGTTATCATTGTGTGTAAACTATTGAAATATAATTATACTTTATTTAATCTAATCCACAATGCTCAAACTTTTTCCTGATATTATTTCTTTTAATAGTGACTATCCTATTGCCTTTCTTATCCAAACTTCCTGTTTTTTATTCGCGTTATTTTTCAGTTTATTTTGAATCCTTATTAACACTATCATATTTTCATATCCGAACTTCCTGTCTATTTTGTCATTATTTATTATTCCTATATATTTAATCCCTGATTCCATAAACATTTATTCGCCACATTAGTTATGATCCCACTAGATTTTAATCCAAACATCCTATCTATTTTGTTATTTCTACATTTCTAACCCCCATAATTATACAATCAATGTCAACCTTCTC